TTCTGGTAACCCATGGATAGACCTTACAAAATCTTTGAATAAATCTGCCGTACCAGTGGCAGTAATGGTTTTATTGGTGGGTATGAATACCACTTCTTTGGAGAAGCGATCTACTACCACCATTACTGAATCATACCCATTTGACTCGGGTAGATCCGTTGTGAAATCAACCAATATATTTTGCCAGGGACCAGCTGGTATCGGATTCGGCATAAGTTTACCGGCCGGCGGTTGGTGAGAATTCTTAGCCATGGCACATCTCAGACAGGATTTTATGTATTCCTGTACGTCTTTGACCATGCCAGGCCACATATAGTTTCTGGAGATCAACTCCATTGTTCGTTGCCACCCAGGGTGCCGAGCCACTGGAGTGTCATGATGTCTATCTATTGCCTTGATCCTTGCGGACTCAGGCACATGGATTTTGTCTTTAAAATGGAAGAGCCCGTCTTCCCATAAATAGTTCTCATTGCCATCAAGGCGCGCCTTCTCTTCTGAGGAGATGTCTTTCTTGAAGACTTCCAAAAGGTCGGAATCCTGCCCGATTCTAACATTGGCAACCCTGGATTGGTCTATCAGGGTGACGCCTTTGTTATCATCCTCGATGCCATTGGCATGATCCTCTCTTCTGGACAAAGCATTTGCTTTCCCCATAGAGCTTCCAGGCTTATAAATTAATTTATAATTGAACCTTGACAAGTATACCGCGTGGCGAGCCTGTCTTCAGTTCAAGTCTCGGGCCGTCATAAAATACTCCAGATTCTTATGATTGGTCCAAATTTCAAATTGGTGTCTAGCACCTTCTAAGTAGTGCCGCCAGTGCTCTAAGGCTCTAATGATGGCCAGCATCTCTTTGTCGTAAATTTGATAGTTGCGCTCCGTAGGCAACAAACTATGTGATAAATAGGCACAAGGCCTCCAAAGATTGTCAGGGCATTTAATTGACAAAACAGCCCCAGTAGCAAAATCAGAAGAGTTGGTTTCTAGCCGGAACTCTTTGTCCAATTCTGGAAATGCTAATATGGGCGCCGTTGTAAACGCCTGTTTAAGCTTATCGAAAGCTTCTTGTTCCTTGGCGCCCCAGTGCCAAATAATGTCTTTTTTAGTGGGATCGTTCAACGGTCTCGTGATTTTTGTGATAAACCTTCGGTAGAAATTGCCTAAGCCAAGGAAGGCCCTAACTCCTTTGACGCGAGTAGGTTCTGGCCAGTCCAATATAGCTTGAACTTTCTCAGGGTCCATCCTGATTCCGTTCTGGCCTATGATCATACCAAGGAAGTCTACTTCCTTCACTTTAAAGTTATATTTTTCGGGTTTGACGAATAGGTCCCGTTCCTGTAAGCGTCAAAGGACTTCTTGCACGATCCTGTCATGCTCAGCCTCATTGTCCGACTTCGTAAATATTTACAAATTGTCAATGTAAATGACAACACAGTTTTCCATATCCGCAAAGATCTCGTTCATTATGCTCTGGAAGGTTGCCGGTGAGTTGGTCAATCCAAAGAACATAACAAGGGGTTCAAAGGACCCTTGGTGGCATGTGAACGCGGCCTTCCAAGCATCTGTCTCTTTGATTCGTACATTATTGTACCCCCATCTGAGATCCATCTTTGTTAAGATCTTGGCACCAGCCAACTTGTCTACTAGCTGACTGATCAAAGGCAGCGGATACACATTTTTAACCGTGTGCTCATTCACGTAATGATAGTCCATAATCATACGCTTCTTACCATCCTTTTTAGGAAGGAAGAACACCGGGGACGTTATAGGGCTCTTGGAAGGTCTGATGTAACCCTTCCTAAGCTGTTCATCTATGAAATTTGATACCTCATCTCTTTCTGGAGCAGAGAGTGGTATCATGTGTCCTTTTCTTGGTTTGAAGGTGTCCTTCAAATCTATAGCATGGTCCCAAGGCTTAGCCTCTGGGAAGTGTTCTTAAGTTTTATGTTTAGAAAAGACTTTCCAGAAGTCATGGTACTGGGGAGGTACCAGCCTCTTAATCTCTTTTTCGGGTTTTACCTCATCATTGTTATCATCGATCTTTTCTAAAGATCTGAGCTCATAAACGTGACCAGCGTTTATCTTCTCAAGACACTCATTGTGACGGACATGATTTGGTTTACCCAAGTTCACACACTCCTGAGGGCAATGTGACAATGTGACAACCCCTGTCTGCCAGTCAATCTCAGGATTGTGTTTAAATAGCCAGGTCCAGCCCAAGATTAAATTAATCTTCCCTAGTTGGGTAGCTTCGGCGGTGACTCGTTCTCTGTGTCCTTGGTATTCAACAACAAAGGAACATTTGTGTGTGATACAGCCACCTGCGTTAAGCGTACCGTCAACGTTATAGACGGGAATAGATGGATTTAATTTTACAAGGGGGAGTCCAATCTGCTCTGCCCAGACCTGATCTATGAAGATTCCGTTAGCGCCTGAATCAAGCAACGCACTGGTTGGGTGTATTATGCCCCAGGCAAGGTTTTCCACACCAACATCTAAACAGATCTCTTTTTGGAATAAATATGTGCGCATCAACACACGCCTTGGGATTCCGGGAAATGGTGGCTCCAGTGAAGAAGAAGAGGTATCAAAAATTACATGTTTTTCTATTTTATTTTTACCAGAATCAAGCACCCTATTGTTTGTCTCGCCGGGGCCACGCTCCAAGGGAGACGCTGGTGCAGCGGTAGTATCATAAATATTACAGTTACAATGCTTCATACAAGTACATATTTCTGATAACTTTTGAAATCTATTTACAAATTGGGGAGCCATCCCCTTCTTTCCATTGTTGCTCATGCAACACCCCGGAGCAGGGGCCACTTTGTTGTGGGCTACTTCATTGTTTTGTGGAGCAAAGGCACCCAAGTGACCTAAGCTCCGAACTCTTTTCCCTGAGCCTTCATTTCAGCAGCCTACTGATCATAGAAGAAGGCCCGGATTTTGTCATAGGATCGACAGGCCAGAGTCTGGAGCCGATCGTCCGGTTTTTCGGATTCTAATTGGTGCGCCTGGCGCCCTTGATTATTTTTTTGTTGAGCGGCCTGCGCTCCTTTTCTGCAGTCTCGGGACATGTGTCCCTCTTGGCCGCAATTGTAGCAGTTCCCCTTGAATCTGCGCATCTGTCCTCCTTGGACCGTGCCGATATCCATGGGGGCTCCCTGCCCTGGTTGCAGCCCGAACGGCTTGAACCTGTGAGATGATTATGATGGTTTGATGACCCAGGGCGCCTCTGGGATTGGTTGTTTTTGGTGGTCTCGCCACCTTGGTGCATTTTGTAGAGCTCTATGGCCCTACCTATTTTTTGAACCTCCTCTGCTGCTTGAGAGAGATTCTCATTTCTCATATCCTGCAGATAAAGCTGTTCTGCAATGTGGGGGTTCACATTGCGTTCCAGCAGCTCTACTGCATGTTCATTACCAAGACCCCCTTGGATGGAGAGGGCCAGGAACTGGGTTACGAAATCATCTGTCCTCATATTGCCTTGTTTGAAGGAACAGATTTGCTGATGTGCCCAGTCTTGCTCAGCTTGCGGCTTGAAATATTTTTCGATCTCTACTTTGAGATTGTCCCAGGTGGGCCACACTCCCGTGGTGTAGCACTCCTACAATCTAACTTGGGTGTATTGACCCGCCATAGGTCCCTTTAGTCGAGATGGCACTGCAGTGGCTACCTTAAAATTGTTGGCAAATGCGTCCCAATTTGCCTTAACCCATATTTGGAGTTTGATCCACCATTCGGTAAATCACGCTCTGTCTCCCTCAAAGGCGCCAGGGTCAGCGACGACTTCGACTTTCTTATTGAATTTCTTCTCAACCGAGGGGGTTGCCGCAGGGGGATTTGCCTGCAGCTCGGCGAGTTGAGTGGTCAATGTCAAGATCTGTGCACGCATGTTGTGCAACAGAGCGTTGACATCCATTCGAGGTTGCAACAACATGTCGACTTGTTCTCTTGTAAAGTAAAAAAAAAAGGTAACTGGGGGTCCCCGCTTGCTATCTGTGGATCAACCTCTTCCCAGCTGAGTATCAGATCTCAATCTCCGACTACCCACACTATAGTATTTGAAAGGTATATAAAAGGTATTTGTAATAAACCCTGGTCCGAACGGTTGTCAGGGGGTGGTCCGCTTGTTAAGCTGTCAACCCTTCTCCAGACTGGCGGAGGCAAGTGCCCGGCCTGGTCAGAGGAAAGAGAAAGCGAAGTTTTGTATGTAAATTCTAATCAACAGCAGTTCTACACCGACTGCTGAGCTAAGTACTCCCCTTAACGCTGGGGGCCGCGTATCAAAGGTTTTGGTTCTTCTCCCAAAGCACTACAAGGCCGTCGCTAGGAGCGCACCTATCTGCTATGCAGGATATTCCTAACCAATAACCAAATCTCCTTCACCCTGGAGTCCGGGTGCCCAGTGGGACTTTTTGCACAACGTGCGAGAGAGTAGAAGAGCGATTCCTAATGTAACAACCAAGAGTTAGTTACTCTGGTGCACACAAGAACACACTATAAGGTAGTGAATGGGGAGTGGTTACCCCTTAAGCTGCAGAGAGTTTGTTGGTATGCAACAGGAGGACTCGCTAAGGAATCTCCTGGATCTATTGGGGTATATATACTAATATAGAGTGTTTGTACTTATGTATTGTACAGTTGATAAAGTCAGTGGCTGATGATGTCATGGGGCCTAGCCTGCATGACCAGCTCCACTGTGTGAGAGAGTTGTATCTAAAATAGGAAGAAGGCAATGCGGCGCGAGAAAGAGGAGTTTGAACAAAAGAGGAAGTGCCGCGTGGCACCATGTGTGAAAGCTAAAGTATACAAGGTTAAAGCGGAGAATGAAAATGAAGGAAAGGTCCGAAAATTGTGTTATCGTAACAGGAGGTGTAGTAAAAGCACTAGTACTACCAGTGGTACTCTGAGTTGGCTTAGCATGGTTTGAAGCTATCTCATTCCTACTATTGTAATATACATGTTAAAAGATGTCAGGATATTTCTGCTGGTGATAGGCTTCATACGAGAGACAGAAGTGCAGCCGTGATAGGATTTCTTGGTTGTTCAGTTGATGCACTATGATATCTCTTCACTTGAGCAGATGACAGAACACTATTCAACCACTGAAGAATCTGGTCACTTGTCCTGTTGATATCATGGAATGTTGCAGTGTCAGTCAAGTCAAGAGCAAGGGCTTGCAAGTGCCTGATGCCCATTGGGTGATGAAATGGTGCACCTGTTATTGTAGTTCCCATTAGCTGGGTAGAGTATTTTGCCAGTGAGATGTAACAGTGACATGACATACCAATGCTCCATTATTAGCAACCATTGCATTTGTTATATGGGTCAAAGGAACCCAATCTGAAGTACTAGCATCAAGGTTCACTATTCCCATATAGTGTTCCAAGCTTTGTGTAAAGTATAGTGAATCCAAAATGTGGAGGAAAGCTGGGTGGTTAAAATAATCACACCCAGCCTGGGCCAGAGCAAGACTGGACTCGGTAGAATTCCTCTGTAAATGAGTGAAGGTTAATCTAATGAGTATCAGTAAAAAATCAAGGTGATATTACCTTGGCAGATACTAGATCCATATAACTAGCATGGAAAAAACCAAATCCAGTGCTTGGATTGCACTTGAGGAAGGCTTGCACTTTGATGCTGGTGGACTTCTTTGATGTGCTGGCGGCCAGGAACACTGAATCATTGAGTTGGAAAAAATATATATGGATAAATATGTAGATTGCACTGATCACTTTGTGGTGGTATATCATTATTGCGCGAATATAAGGGTCTCAAACCTGATCTGAGTCAAGCATCATCATATCTGTATTAAAATATTTAGAATTAGCTAACCACAAATGTACATCATAGATTTAAGCTCAAATTGTCACTCGCAGGGTTCTACAAAACCATTTTCTCCAGTACAATGAATGCTGATACTCATATTTACATTGTACCCAAAGTGAGGCTGGAATTGGTATACCGTATAGCTGTAATTTGAACTATGCACCACACAGAAGCACTATCTTGGAGATTGTCTAAGAGTTCTGTATTTATATCTTTGATTTCCAACATGAGGGGTGCAAATTAGTCATAACAAGAATTTTGATGTACTTTCCAAGTTGTTGGATACCCCGCTAGTCCAACTGCCCACAATATAATTCACAAATGCAGTGCAAAAAGCTACAGATTAAGTAAAAGGGTGTTAGCATTAATAAGAATTGTGTTGGTAAGAAATTGTACTTGATGCTTCAGTCTGAAATGTGTCAGCTCTATTAGAAGGGCCTACTTCAATGAGACCACTGCTGCTGGTGCTGCTGGAAGCAGCATCGGAAGGGCCAGGAACAGGCATAGTATTCACAAAACCCATAGTGCCTACTACCTTACCTCTACTTACTATGGAATTTGTAGGAACACTAACTGATGCTGTGGCATGAGGAATGAAGAACCACTAATTTTCCTTTGCTTGTTAATGTCTTGGGGGCCTGTGGTGAGTAGGGCCACTAGAAGGCTCCCTAGTGCGCACAGCCCACTATCTTGAAGACTTGCTGCAGGTAAGCCCTTTGCATTTTTTTTGACATCTTTGCAGCATTTTAATTCTTCCACCATGCAGTACACCATTCCTGTATTCAATGGCTTAATTCCAGAACCACACAACACTCAAATATTGAGCTTGCTACTCTGTATGGCTCATTTGCATGGTTTAGTTAAACTACACATGCATACTGACAATACACTGAAAATACTAGATGCAGTAACTATAAGTCTAGATGATAAATTGCAAAAATTTGCTGCAAATACTTGCTCTGCCTTCTGTACTAGGGAACTTTGGGGAAAAGCCAATGCATGAAGGAAGGCACTGTGAAATCCAGCAAGGCACTGACATTCAGTCAACATCATCAGGAGCCACCCAAAAACCCAAGGCATTCAACCTACAAACCTATAAACTCCATGCGCTCAGGGATTATCCTGCACAAATCAGGTTCTTTGGCACTACAGACTCCTATTCCACTGAGCCCGTAAGTTCACCTAACCATATCTTACTTCATTTGTAATAACTGGTGCCCAGGGTAAATTAGAGCACCGGACAGGGAAGTCTAGATTCAAAAGAACCAACAAGAAAACCTATACTGAACAGCTTACTCACATCAAGCGTTGGGAGGTGTTACGAACCTCCGTGTGACCCATGCCTGCATCAGGTTCTTGCGCTTTCCTGCTTATGATAAACGTGTATGGCGCCATTCTAAGGAAGAGAAGTTGGGCTTCCACTAGCTGCCAGGGATTCTAGAGGTAATATGGGAGCTTGCTCATGCAAGGCATTACTGGGTATAATGAGGTAGATTCATGATGCAGAACTATGCTACATACATGCGGTATATATACTGTTAGTCTACTTCAGGGGAGGCTTGTAGATAGGTTAACAGGAAACAGGTAAATACAAAAAAGGTAACATAATGGGCCAATAGCGATAAAGGCTGTTGGTCATGAGGTATCCATGAGGTGTCCATAAGGTAAGATATAAATAGATACCAATCGCAATAAGGGCTTATAGTCATATGAGGAGCTATAAGGAGAGTCCTAGGAGAAATGGCTAAAGATAGATCAAAGAATGGTCAAATGATCTAAGAGAAGCACCGATAGGAGAATCCTTGGAGAATAGCTAAAGATAGCTAATAAGACAATAGTGTCCAATAGGATAGAAGATCTAAAGATAGAAGATCTAAAGATAGAATATCTGTGTGGCAATGCAAGATAAGATAAGATATGATGAAAGAAAAGAAAAGAAATAAAAAGTGTAGATGAAATTGTAACAGGAGGCCCATATATGTCTCATGTTCCAGAAACTTGGCATGTCTTCTGAGGATTGTGCCATCACTGCTGATCAGGAGGCCAGCACTCTTGATGACCATCATCACCTAGGGAAGTCTCAAAACTCACCTTTGCACATCACATTCTTCTCCAACATGTACTCCTGCCATCCAGCTTGCACGGTAAGAGACAAATCAATACTGTACAATGCCACTATCAACCTGATTCACTATAGGATTTTGTATTAAACCTCAAGGTTCACTTACTATCACTGTATGCAATTGACTCTTCTCACTCATAATGTTTCCAAGCATCACCTTAATGATCCCTCATCAAATCAGCAACCTTCTATTCAAGTCATATTAAAATATGACAGAATGTATAGTCACAACATCTTTTGCATCAACTTCACAACATACAACATTCACTGAACACAAGACATTATTAACCCACAGATCATTGCAATATCATGTTATTAGCTCCTCTGGAGATGCAGTTCCATTTGCAATTCATTGGGATCTTAGATCTGAGGGTCAGGATCATCCTCCATTGTGTTTTGGTCCGGATGGTGAACATTCTCTGGAATAAGTTCCTCCCACTGATTTGTGCTGGGATCTGTGTTCCAGGGAGCAGTGTTGTCCTTTTGTACCTTTCCAGATTCATTAAATATGACATGCCAACTGAAAACACAGTTCGCTTTTCAGCGTCTAGGAGTTTATAGGCTTGTTGTTTTCCATGTGTGTAACCAATTATTATGGCTTTGCACCCCCTAGAGTAGAACTTTCCTTGCTGTTTTTCTTTTGAAATCAAGGCATGCACTTGGAATTCAAAGGGGCAAAATAAAGTTGGATCAATGCTCCTTTTAAACAGTATTTTATATGGGGTCTTCCCATGAAGTCCTGATGCTGGGCTGTGTGCTATGATATATGCAGCCATTTGCATGGCATCTACCCACAATAACTTTGGGATCTTGGAATCATAGAGCATAGTGGTTGCTAGTATAGCCAATGTTCTATTTATGCATTCCATAATGCCATTTTGTTCCAGAGTATTTGCAGCTGTGGTTCCTTGGAGGACACCATTTCCTTGGAGTTGTTTTCCGAATGCATCACCAGCTTAATCTTCTCCTCCATTACTCCAGAGGAATTCTGTATAAAGAGGAGTGAAGTTTTCTTCTCCCAAATGAGTTCGGAAAAATGTTTGGACATCTTCTTTCCATTGCTTGTATTGTTTAAAGTGCTTCACTTTGGGGTTTTAGGAAATATATCCATGGAAATTTGGAGAAATTGTCTACAATGATAATAGTGCAAAGTGTGGAGTATGAGGGTGATAGCAAGATAACCATGGCTACGGCTACTAGTGAGTAGTCCAGGGGCTGGCCTAGGGAAGCTAGTACATGTGCTTTCTGATGCATGCTATTCAGTTGGGGTTCTAAGGCTGTATCACCTATCAGGTAGGCAATAGTCTGTTTGCCTTTCCCTTCATAGTGGTTTTTGACTTGAGTCCAAACTTCCTTAGCACTGGACAGATAGAGCACTCCATTTAAAGGTTCATCCTTCAAGGTGAGTATTATCTGTGTCTTTGTTTCCTTATTGCACTGATTTCATTCAGATTGTTCTACAGGTTTTGAGTCCCCTGTGTCTATGTCTGACCCCTTAATTATACCTAGTAGTCCTTGAATGTTTAAGACCATGTGGATATGGTACTTCCAAACCTGGAAGTTTGAGCTGTTGTTTTCAAGTGACAGAATGTCATACAGGCGGCTTGATCTGTGGGTTGTTTTCCTGGATGCACTGACTGATGATGTTGTTGCTATGGTAGCTCTGGCTTGTGAGATTGATGGTGCAGTAAAGGGTTGCTTTGAGGTTTATGTTCAGAGATGAGCAGGGCTCATAACATTTTGTTCTAATAAAAGAGAACAGACACTACTAGGTAGTCAGTAATCTAATATATGATAATGTTTCACTTGCTACTCACCTTAGTCTGAGTTGTGGAACTGAGGTGGCAGCACACAATGTGGCTGAATATAAGTACTCTATTATATAAGTGTTCTACTATCCTGCTATTGCCTCTATCAAGATATTGAAACAACATTAAAAGCCTACATATACACAGTCACAGTACATTAAGGTACATGACTTAACTGAAACTGCCACTGAAACTTAGCTAGAAGGAGCAGATAAGCATAATCAATAGATGCTCACCCCATGGAAGAACATATTTGTACATACCAATAGAATCAACCTGAAAAACTTGGTGTGCTGCTTAACTTAGGAGCTAGCTTATTTCCTTATTAGGTTTTATTTCAGTTTCCAAGTTGCTCTTTTGCTCAACCAGCTATGAGAAAGCTGTTCAGTTGAATAGATAAATGTGAAGAAAATAATGATATACTTCAAGATCATAATTAGCCCTCAACTTTCTATTGGACTTTCCTTAGTCAGTTATGAATATGAGAGAAGAAAACATACCTGGAAGATATCTTCATATCCAATTATTCAGATCAGAAGAGCTTATGAGCTTATCCTCATTATGTATTTCCAATAACAAATCTGACAAATGAGAAAACATTGACTGCATTAAGAATTTAAATATGTTAATTTAACAGAAGGTATGACCATAATAACAAACTGTATTTTTCAAAGAAGACACAGTATTCATACAGGGCTTGCATTTTCTTGCAAGGCTGACTTCTATCTCTGCAATTTTATCATGGGCCATCTGAAGACCAGATATTTCATCCTCAAAAAACCCATGCAAGAAAGTGTGGGCAAGGTTAAGCATGGCTACAAGCTCCTCTTGACACTACAACATCCTTGTATGTTCTTCCTGCAGCTCCAGCAAGACCTCACTGAGCTTGACAGCAGCAGAGGTAGGAATAACACAATCAGTGGTTGCAGAGACCTGGATACCTGGAATACACAAAGTCGCCTTATTTTCATTTTTGCAGGATATGAATGATGTACTTGATGATCTGGAATTTGGCACAGTAGTGCAGTGCAATAATGTGAGTGAGCAAGAGACAAAGGCTAAGTGCTGAGATTCTGAGTTGCAGCATGAGTTATTGAGTGGTGGGTAGGCATTAAAATTGTACTTTGCTACAAAAATGCCAATGGGTTGGAGATAGCTATAATTTCTATGCCATCCTAGGCTGTGTAGTTCTGGAAGATAGTACTTGGCACTCCCTCCAATTACTAATTATTATTAGATCATAATCCTGCCTTGGCTATGTGGTTTGACCTCCTTCATCCTCCTAATCAACCAACCATTGAGCACAGCAGAATTCATATTACATAGTACACAGCCAATCAGGAGGGCGGTGAACTGAGGGGTGAGAATTGTGACTACTAGAGTAATTACTATTCTGGGCCACACCTCTTAAGCACATATACTATTAAGGTAATTTCTTCTAAATATTCATATGCCACTGACCTCATAATCTACTGCTCCTGCCTTTGGAGAGAGGATTGACTCATAACACTGACTATACTATCATGGTATGTGACCTACATACCAATTCAGCTTGGTGACCACATCAGACATTCTGACACCCCACTGTGTCTGAATCAACTGTTTAAACTTCTAGTTTATAACACTTCAGTCACCCCTAGTCCGTGGCTTCTAGCTATAATATTTTCTGTATTGTTATGTGGCCAATAGCCCTGAAATACACTGGGGTAGTCCCAATGTGTCACAAGTAACAGGCACACACCTCCCACTTGTCTTTTTGGGCCCCCAACAACCTAATTTATTGTTTAACTAGAAACCTAAGTTATTCCAGGCTATTCTTAAATCTGGGGATTAAGCTGTGTGTGGTGGCAACTTGGTATGTCTTCTTGCAAGCCCCCTTGTGTATACCAGACCACCACACCCTATAGTCAACAATAGACCTTGATCTTCACCAAGGCTACTGTGATATTTTCAGAAAAGGCTTGAGAATATGGTCTTGACATAATTAAGCCCTATTTGTTAGTCTTTTGTATAACAACAAGTGAACCCCTCATGTAGGCACTAAATCCCTATACCAGGCATGATTGTCTAATATTTCTAGTAAGCTTCTCCTGCATGTCTTATCCCCAAATAAAAGGCTACCACAATTTTTGATTTTTTTCCTATTTCAACCACTACTTCCTCTGGCCAAAATAATGTCCCACATACTGGATGGGATATCCCAGCCTACTATGTGGAACACCCCAACTACTTCATGGGAACATCCTAGGTGCCTTATGGGATATCCCAGGTATTTTATGGATGTGCCAGGTACTTTATGGGACATCCCAGCACTGAGGGAGAGCAGTTTTTGTCTCTCCTATATGTAGCTTATTTTGAAGTGAACATCAATTGTAAACTATCAAGTAGGCCCTTCAGATAGTTTTTGTATATGCCAGAATATGACTCATTCACCCATTTCATCCAGCACTTCTGTGATTCAGAAA